ATTAATCAATTTTGGTTGTTTCGAAATTAGATGCCTAATGTATTCTCCTAGATTTGTGAAGAGATGTTGATGGAATAATTGACTGTTAAAAATTATTTTTAGTTGTAATGGAAATTAAGGTCGGAAGTGAGAACATATTAACTTGGAATATTAGGAGATTTGGGGCAGATTATAGAAATTGATATTGTTCAATTCAAAGTTTGAAGAACGATAAAGGGAATTGATGCCTCTCTGTAAGCTCCAATCCAGGGATTCGAGTTTGAGATCCAAAGAACACCTAAGTCGTTGGAATATAAAGAAAAGAATATCAGTTCATAAGAAAATATATAGCCCTTGTTTGAGCCCCATTTTTTCCATCAAATTACATTCTTGAACAATGATTTGATCATATTTCAACCACACATTCTTCAGTAAAATAATTGTATATGTAAACCCAAAATTTTTTCCTTATATTTTAACCACAAATTATCCATCATAACACTATTGGAAAATGCATTTTAAAAAAAAGGGCTCAAACAACCCCATATTATCATAAATTATGAGTATTACTATTATGTTAAGACTTGAATTAATTTGTCATTTGGAAATAAGCAATTCCCATATATTGATGAGCCCATTTCCGGCTTCCCTCTTGCTTAATTAGCAATAATCGGTCTACGTTGATGAGGTTAACTCTGAAAAATGATTTGTCCGTCTATATACTTCAGTGGACTAGGCTTTAGGGATATGGAGTTGTTCGATCAAGCTAAATAAGCACACAGTGTGGTTTGATAAAGATTCTTGCTAGTTCATTTGAAGAAATATAAAGTAAAACATCTAATAAGAGAAAAAAATGGGAAAAAAATTTGATTTTTATTCTGTAAAGTAAAAATTTTTTGGAACATATCTCGCTTTGTGTGTGCCATCCTTGCTCGGACCATGCTAATTTTCTTTGCATCATTCCAATTTTATAGAATGTCCCTGAAGGGATAAAATAAAAGTTTGAATGAATGATTGACATTATTCCTTATGATCTAAAAATTAGATGCACAGAGAGGGACATAATGTCTTCCATCTAAAGAAAATGTACGAGGAATTATCTCAAATGCATCAAAAGAATTAAAGATAAGATAGCACAAGCACTCAGATTAACCACACTTTAAGCTAGGGAACCCCAATTTTTTTATTTTTTATTTTTAATTAATCGAGACAACATGATTGAATAAAAATAATAATAATAAGACTTTTCGTTATAACCAATTTTGGACTTTCGTAAAATTCGTTGACAATTCTCTATCCTTGAGAAAAACTTGAAAGCGCTTGCAACAGGACTAAGACTTTGCTATCAGCATGGTATTTGCAAAGTTTGGGCAGATGTAAATTCAAAGTCAGCTTAAATATAATGCTTAACCAACAAACCAATATCGGGGCTTGGGAAATCCAATACGACTTAAATTGTTATAGCCAACAGATTTTCATGGACTGAACGAGGAACTTACCGGATTGGATGAATGGGAAGCTACTATTAGAAAAGTTATGTTATATGTACAAAGTTGGTTTATAAAATTGGGTTACAAAGTAATATCTACATCGATCACTTCAAAAATAGATTTTTAAATCATTGAAAATCAGTGGCCTGAAATTTTTTCAATACTTATTTATCAGCCAAATTTATAAACATATTTTGTACAAATAACATAATATCAATTAGAATGACGAACGTGCTGGTTGATTGGATGGCGTTGAGTACTTCGTGTTGTGCTCTTCATGTTTAGAAATTTGTAGAGTGTGAAATGGAATAAGCCATTTTAACAGAATTTTTTGCCCATCTACTTGAAATATGCAGTGTTGACAACAGATGATTGAGTACAAAAATTGACTTTTTATTAAACAATCCAATGATATTATACCATGTCATATGACATTTTGTCAAGGAAGTAGACGAATAATTCCAATAATGTAACATCTCTGGTGTAAAATTAGATTATTTAGATGAATTAAAGATCATTTTTATTGAATTGTGGTAACGTATAAACCTCCTCATAGTATAAGTGCTTGTTTGAGCCACATTTTTAGTTAAGAATGTATTTTGGAATGATAGATTGATGGAGAATGTGTGATTAAAAAATGAAAAAAAAAATTTAAATTTACGTGTAATATTATTTTATTGAAAAATGTGATCTTAAAAAGAAGATAGAGAAAAATGTAATTTGAAAACAATAACTTCAAAATTCAAATCCCACGAAGATTAGCTTTAAACCTACCATCCTAGTTGAGGTGACCCCTTAACGGACAAAAGATGATTATAGAGAATAATACTAGTTTTTGTCCTTTTCTAATCATTTAAGCTCGCAGTAAAAATGAATATATATTTTTTTAGCAAAGATTTGAAATTACAAAAGGCCTAGATAAATGACAAAGTGCTACTTAGTCTTCGTTTGATAAATTCATAGATAATTTATAAAAAAAAATCATAAAATGAATATCTATATTTTTTTCTCTCAACCTATTTTGAATTCATATTTATAATATTAAGTTTTCTCAATATCAGTTTCTTATTATGTAGAAATAATTAGTTTGTCTTTTAGTATTTATGTTAAATATTCTAATTAATAAAACAGAATAATTCATTAATATTTTATCAACAATATATTGGTACACGAACATAATTTTGTATTTTCAATATCTTTTTTGCTCAAGTTATCTTCTTGATGTTAAACGATTCGGCTCAAATCTTAGGAGGCATGATCCGTGACTCACAATTACGACATGTAACAGGTAAGTCATTTTTTGACCTTTTACCCTAAACGATAAGGGTTTAATTGAATTCTTTTTAAAGTAAACTAAATTAGGGTCATCTTAACTTATTTTATGCCTCTCTTACTAGCACTTAGTAACACGTCTCTACTACTACCTGTCAAAACTCGACTGCGGATTTATTCCAAACCCACTGTATCGACGGCTTGTCTGATAGAAATAAAGAGCTTTATTCTTAAAAGTTTCTTTGATATTTATAATTTATATTGAGTTAGAGCTGATTTGGTGACTTTATAAAAGTAACGACAATTAACATCCCGACATTGGTTTGGTTAGACAGCACAAGGAAATTTGATGTGCTAACGTTAAAAGGACATCCTCGAATTTTCCGAGGCTGCTAAGCGTTACTAACGACTTTTCTACATAAATATGAAATCCTTTTCAACATTATGCGTTCTTCCTATCACGACAAAATTTATTTTTAAATATACTTTTAATCAGATAATTTTACAAAGATTAAAAAGATTATAAACACAATTGTTTATTCTATATTTCTAACTTCTTTCAACTTTTTAATTTTCTAGTATGTAGAAATCTTTGTCGGAGAATGTTCGTTAAAATGTTACGTGTATTTATCAAGTATCGAGTGTAATTGTCTTTTTAAATCAAATATACGCTTTTATTGGAGAATTTGAACCATTTAACGAACTTTAGACAAAATTAATACAAAGATTCAAGTGCTAATAAAGGTTGGATATAAATTTTCATTTTGAACGATTCGAGATGTTTTAACGAACTTTTATACATAATTAGTATAAAGATTCAAGTACTAGTAAAACTTTAGATACAATTTGTATGGAAGATTAAATGTTCAATGAATTATAGTACTAAGACAGCTAATTCAATTTCCTTAGTTGTAATAATTTTTAAATTTGGAATTCAATTTATGTCCAACATTAACTATAATAAAAACAATTATGCTACTATTTTTGTCCAAGCAACGACTTTGCTATTTTTTATGCTGTTGAGAATCTTCTGCGTGGAAATTAATGATCCCAAAACTTTAATTACACGTTTAATAATGTACTTTTGATAAATGTAAGTGCTTTTGTTCTTGATTTGTGAATATAAATAAAAATTAATGTTTTAAAAAGTAAGTTTAGACTGTACTCAGACAAGGGTAAAATGTTGAGTCTTTATAGCAAGCACTTTTAATGTGTGTCTAGGTGTGATTGGGCGTGCTTTATTAATTTTCCTTTTTTTTTCCTTGTCTTTTGACCTTTTTAAAAGCTTTTTTTTTTCTTTTAATTTTAGTTTCAAGTTTTTGTTTTGAAAATTGTATAATTGATCACAAATATCTCAAATAACAAAAAAATTCCATTGCTCACCCTGACCCTGACCCTCAATCCCGCTCCCGCACCCGTGCGCCCGCCCTTCCCTGTCTCTCTCTCTCTCTCTCACACACGCAGACACTAAGAGGACACTAATACACAGACAAATTTTTTTTAATAAACTTATGTTCGATTTTAAACTCGTTGAAAAGGTAGATATTAGATAGTATTACCTTCCTTTAAAACTACACAAATAATATTTAAGAATTATCATTTTCTAGAAACAAAATCAAAAGGAAAAAGAACACCATACGTGCCAAGCCAACAGTGAAGGATTTATTTTTCAGTTGTCATAAATTCTGTCGGTGATATAGATTTCATCAATGTACAGTTACGTAAGAAATTCTGATAGTGGAAGTGTCATGACTAAATTTAAATTTCCACAAAATGCTGATTTCTGTAAAGATTTATCGATGCAAATTATGTCGTCAAAAATTGTTGATTGCATTCCAAAATATGAATAATATTCACTGAAATTTCATCAATGAACTTCTGCCAATGATTTTTTGGTGGTATATTTAGAGTAAATTAGTACAAACTATTATTTAATTTAATTGATATAAGCATAAAAGTATTGGCTATAATTTCATTTACATCTCTTTCAATCACAGCAAAGCGAAAGCAGCCAGCGAAAGCCAAGTAATCATCCACAGTTAGGAATCTTAGGATTGTCCAAATTCAAACTATCTGACAATAAAAGTCAATAGTGAAGAAAGATGAAAGAACATAAAGATTGCTTCAATTCTTCGATTGGTACAAAACTTTGAAATTTATTGGTAAGAGACGTGCTTCCGTAATCAACCATCTGCATGTGTAGCGTGGCCAAAATCAGCTCCCATTTTTCTTTACCTCCTACAGCATCTATATATATCTCTCCATTTATTGTATTTATATATGAATGTGTATACTTGAAACAATTCTGCATATAAAGAATTCCCAGATAGCCTAAGAACAGACAAAACCCTTAAGGGTTCACATGATCATATCTATATTGCAAACAGTGAGTTAAATATGAAGGTTTCTCTCTTACATTTAATTGGTTTTCTTCTTTTAGGAGGAGTGCTCCCTATTCATGCTGCTCTCATCCGCCGCCATAAGTTCGTGGTAAGCTTATTTTTGTCATGAAGATTATGAAATAAGTTATATAAGCTCATGGTCATTGATATTTATTAATTTTTTAGACATATCATGTGGGACTCATCTTTTTCACGTATTAAAGTGTGAACTGTGTGAGAAGTAAGGTGAAACAGGCTCCTTACATTTTGGGTTTCGAGAAATGTTTATTTATTTTCTTGGAAACAAAAAATTCTGGCAATCACTAGCCATCATAAACTCTGAATAACTTTACTCCTCTGGTTTTGTAGTTGACAGATACTCCATACACAAGGCTATGCAGCAACAAGAGCATATTAGTAGTAAATGGACAATTTCCAGGGCCAACTATATATGCCACTGAAGGAGATACAATAGTCGTTGATGTGTATAATCGAGCAAGAGAAAATGTAACCATTCACTGGTAGGAATTTCGGTGCTCACTTGTTTATCGATTCAGAGCACATTTGGTATGCAATGTTGAATAAAACTGAAAAATATTTATAAACAAAATTTTAACTTATTTTTTTGCCTTTGATGCTGTTGACCGTACTTTACACCTTATCAAATAAACCGTCATGTGAAATCAATTTTGTAGGCATGGAGTCAAGCAGCCTAGATATCCGTGGTCAGATGGCCCTGAGTTTATTACTCAGTGCCCCATTCAACCGGGTTCAAAATTTAGCCAAAAGATTATACTTTCGGATGAGATAGGAACTTTGTGGTGGCATGCCCATAGCGACTGGTCACGTGCAACCGTGCACGGCGCTATCATCATATATCCCAAGAAGAAAAATAACTATACTTTTCCAACGCCTGATGCAGAAGTCCCCATCATATTAGGTACTTATAAATTAAAATATTTTATGATTGCAAAAATTAAAAAAAATAAAATTAATTGACTAAGAAACTGAATGTTTGAAGCTGGTGGTATAATACAGGGGAATGGTGGAAGAGTGATATACAAGCAGTTCTTACCGAGTTTCTTAATAGTGGAGCAGACCCAAATAGTTCTGATGCTTTCCTCATAAACGGTCAACCTGGTGATCTCTATCCATGCTCAAGACTAGGTTCGTTACTCAAGTGATTTCAACTTAAAAGTACTATTATTAAGCACAATGAAAAGAAAGTAGAAGTGGTTTTTAAGTAATTTATCATTTCTAAATATGGTTGAATTGCATACCCCCCCCCCCCTTAAAAAGGATTAATTTCTTTCCCCCCCCCCCCCCCAATACTTCTAACTTAAAAAAATTATTTAATTTTGAAATTAACTTTTACTTTTATTGTCAAATAAATAACTTATTTATTCATAACTTTTACAAATAAAAAATTAATTTATTGAAAAACTTATTGAAACTTTTCAAGCTTAGCCAAACAATGGTAATTCTTATCCTGTTCCTATGTTACCTGAAAAAATATCTTTTAAGGGAGAAGGAACAAGTCAACAACTTTACTGTAGTTTTAAAGGCAGAATTATAATACATGAACTTGGATGCAAATTTAGGTCCACAAAAGTACAAAAGATAGTAATAACGGGTAACAAATTTTAAGATATAAAGTGTCGTATAAAGTTTTTCTATATGACAACCACAACATCTATTAAAGTCATTAAGTTTCAACTTGAGCATAAGGTTCTCAAATTTTAATCCAAAAAATGGAGATTTCGAGGAAAAACTATTAAAGTTCTGACTATTTTTTTATTTTTGCCATGCAGATACATTTAAATTGACGGTGGAATATGGGAAAACTTATTTGATCAGAATGATTAATGCAGTCATGAACAATATTATGTTCTTTTCCATTGCAAACCACAGTGTCACGGTAGTTGGATCGGATGCTAGCTACACGAAGCCAATCATAAGTGATTATATTATCATCTCTCCTGGACAAACCATTGATTTCTTGTTGAAAGCTAACCAAAAACCTAGTCGCTACTACATGGCTGCCCACGTTTATGCTACTCAAGTAGACTACGACAACACAACCACAGCTGCAATTATCGAGTAAATACTGCACAGTTTGTCCCTCAAGCCCTATGGAGGCCTCGAAATGGCACAGAAGTAAGAGTTCTTGACTATAATTCTACAGTGGAGATTGTTTTCCAGGGAACAAACACAGTTGCAGGAATAGATCATCCTATGCACTTACATGGACAGAGTTTTTATGTAGTTGGGTGGGGATTTGGAAACTTCGATAGAGACAGAGATCCATTGAATTATAATCTTGTCGACCCTCCTCTAATGAATACAATTGCAGTTCCTATAAATGGTTGGACAACAGTAAGATTCAAAGCAAGTAATCCTGGTACGTGACATTTTCTCCTTGCTTGACTTCATTTTTATACACTTGATATTCCTTTTTTTTTTTTTTTTTTTTTTTGTAAAATGCTACTTGTACATGCTATTCTAACATATGAGGTTATAAACTATTGAGTTGGCAAGATTTTACACCGCTTTGAACAAAAAACAAAGTTAAATTAGCCAATGAAATCTTGCCAGCTCAACAACTGTAATCCCATCTGTTAAAAAAATTTGTACTAGTAGAATTTTCCACTTTTTTCCTATAATTTTATCATTGACATTCGAGAGCTAATCCTAAAATGTTTATTGAATATGTAGGAGTTTGGTTGTTGCATTGCCATTTAGAGCGCCATATAAGTTGGGGAATGGAGATGGCATTCATTACCAAAGATGGCAAGGGAAAAGAGGCTAGAATGTTGCCTCCACCTCCAGATATGCCTCCATGTTGATGCTACGGCTAATTACAAGTTTCACATTCTACCGACAATATATATACATCAAGTGTAGCCGACGAGCTTGTACTATATGTGGAAGAAGTAAAACATCATATGAAGATCGGTTCACTTGTAATATGTTTGGAATTGTATAAGATTTGTAAGGACAAATTGTTAGTTCAATTAGTACCATAAGAAAATAAATTTATCTAGCTCAAAATTTGATAAATATTCTCTTGGAGAATTTATATTGTAGATTGTTTTCAAGTTCATGAGTAATAAATAATAAGATCTAAAGGATCTTTTGATTTCTAAATTCTGGTGACTTTATTTTCATAAGTATTTGGCATTTTGTAAAAAGTCCTTCTATGAGAAAACCATCATTTTACTTTCTTAATTCCTCAACTTTTGGTTTCTACTTCGTTACTTGTAGGCATTTTTTGGCAATGCATCAAAAAGTTTGTTATGATCAGATGTTGGGAGAATACATTTATCCCCACTTGTGAAACGCTACTTCACTGCTAAGCCTATGTTTGAATAATTGGATATCTGGTTCATGAATTCTGTCAAAATCTCATAATAATTTTCACCACGTTTATAACTACCATTCCTCTTCATGAACTATTTATAAAATTGCCAAACAAAGGCTAATTTATTATTCCGAGTTCGTGAAATCGGGTTTAAGACAATTAAATGTTATTTTAATTAGTTCTCATGTATTAAGAGTAAAATTTGAAAATTCACGGGGAATGCTCTACTAACGCTTGAAAAATCACCCAACAAATTTGAAAATTCACGGGGAATGCTCTACTAACGCTTGAAAAATCACCCAACACGTTGCAACGTCAAATTCAAATTTTAAGCTTACCAAGTTTACGTTCCAATTAACAATTATTCGACCTTACTGCGAAATTACTAATATAAGCAACATGTCACTTATTATTAGTCGTCTAGATGGTTAAACAATCAAGTCCAATTAATTCCTAAGGTTGAACTACCGGTTTGTGATGCGTAAAGTAAATAAAATAGTAAAAACACAACTCATGATATGATGACGGAGAAATCCCAACATGGGTAAAACTCCGGGATCAAGCCAGTGACTTTCACTATTCCAATTCAGCAAGTACAAGTTCCCAAACTCCGTACCCAATCAGATCCACTATCACAGTCTCACGATTTACTGTCGTAGATGCTACTAGCCTCCAGCTAGATTTCTCGATCTACCTCCTGCAGCCCAATCTGCTGTCCACTACAGCCTCCTGGTTCTCAACTGATTGTATCACCAAGTGAAATTTCAATGACCGTCTGCCTGTTCTTGTCCAATTCACTGCGCTTGTCGTCCACCTCTCTTAATCCCCAATGAGATAGTTCCTTCCTTACAAGATTAAGGAAGCACCGGTGTTTTGTCTTCAAGACCTTTGATGTTTTCTGCCGAAACCATGGTTGCCAGATCACAAGAGTGATATAGAAGAAACCGCCAATTAATTTCGCCTTGGATCACTTCAATAATAAAATGGATGTTATGAAGATGAAAGCTCAATGTTGCAACCACGACCGCCGACTTAACTGATTGAAGAGTTCAATTCCAGCTTCCTTCAATTCAGCCGCAAATCTGCCCAACTTGTATGAGAACAAGATTCAATTCCCAACCTTTTTAATTCTGTAAAGCACAAGTTGCTAACACCAAAGTATGTATATAAACAATATAATTAAGCCCCCAGCCGACAGTCCACTTGTCCCTCAGCTCTCTCAAAATTGTCGCCAATAATGTGTGTGTGTGTGTGTGTATATTAAATTCAACAGCTTGTCAGCCCTTCAATTCCCTAATTTAAGCCGCCAATATGTGTATATATATATCTTACAATTCAGCAAACGCAGCCTCCAAAATAAGTTGTTTATATTTGTATGTTTTGCTCCAGTTTCCTCTTCTTTCGGCCCCAAAAGATAGCCTCTGTTTTGGTGTAAATATATATGTTTAAATTCAGCAACTTGCCTCAATTCTTGACCATTCAAAGTAGCTCCAAATGCTATCAATTGTGTTATCAAATTATTCTCAAAGCTTCCTCAAATTTCATGTATACATGTGATGCAATTTCAGCAGCCGGCCAGCCCTTTAATTTCTCCAGTAGCTGAATTATGTTGTTGTATATATCTATATTTATTAATCTTCAGCAACAAGCAACCTTTTCTCTTCTCTTTTTCCAGATGTAGACGTATATAGGTATATATTTTGGCTGCATTATTTTTTCAGTTCATTTGCATGTCTATATAAATAGACTTTGACTTATGGGCCATAATTTTCCAAGCTCAAACCCTAGCCCAGCTTAAGTATACAATATTGCACTTCACACCTTGACTTTTAGACATGTTTAATTAAGTCCTTTTTTGTTCATAGAATGCTAATTACAATTAAAAACCTAACAAAATTGAATTAGACTAGAGATCCCCATGCCAGACGCAGTCACTCCTAGACTAGCCTTCGTCCACATGGTCAATGAGTTCGATATAAGTAATACAATGTACTTTAAGTAGGTTACAACAACAATGCTTGCATATAACTCATGGAAATCCTATCAATCACTTGTTTAGGGAGAGTTCACTAGGTCCGTAACGTACCTCCTAGCCAATCCTGCTAACACACTTTAGCGAACTATGTGCCTTGCTTCTGTGCGCAACCCTATATTATTACAAAGAAGAACATTTGAAGAATTGAGGACTTAATCCTAACGGAACAAAAGGATGGAGTGGCATTCCATAGAACTGAAATTATCACGTATTCCTCCTACTCCAATGTTTGCTCTACAATTGATTTTATGATTAAGGCCAATGAGGAAGTTGAAATATTTATAGTTGAGCTCAAGTCGGTTGGTATAGGGAAGCCATAATTCTTTGAGAAGGGTAAAGTCAAATGAAAAATGGTGGAAAGTGAACCAAAGCAAACTAAGCTCTTGTTTAGACTCCAATTTTTATAAAATGCATTTTCTCTTTCTTATTTTCAACGACATATTCACCAATAAAATAATATTACAAATAAACCCAAATTTTTCCTTATTTTGTAACCACATATTTTCCAAAAGAAAAAAAAATCATTATTCCAAAACATATTTTTCTCCAAAATATATTTTTAATAGAGCTCAAACAAGGGCTAAGCAAGTCCACAAAATGTATCCTATAATCATGTACTCCATGTTGAAGATATAGAACACTATTCGAAGATTTCATTTATTATTTGTTTGGAAATTGTATGCCCTAGGCTATTTTATATAGTATATTAACTAGAACTGCTTGCATTAGGGTAAAACCCCCTTTATCTTTATGAGTACGGCCTGCTTCATTTTTTTATTTTTTGAAATTCATTTTGTATGCTCAGTAGTTGCAAAATAATTTATTAAATAAAGTTGGCTAGAAATTACCTTTTCTTTCTTCAACAAAAGTTCTTTCTCTTGCCATTGTTGGTGGTTTAGTAATTAATGCTTATTCTTGAAATAGTTCGTGATTTGAATAAAACTTATATGGAATGGGAGTAGATATTCAACAAATATGTAGAAGGCCCTTTCCAAGTAAATCTCAAACTTTTACAACATAGATTAGGAGCATATGAAATCTATATAGCATAAAAATAGTACACAAATCATGAGGTTGAGATTTAGCTTCACCACAAGAAAAGTTTCTTACTGGTAAATACCCCCAAACTTAAACTTTTGTTCGTCCTCGAATACAACTATAACTTAAATAACAATAAACACACAAACATGCAAAAATATTTGGTTAGAGGTTTAGCTTTTTAGCTCAGGATTTGAAATCACGGCATTAAATCTACAAACTACTTCAAAGTCACAATACCAAATTAATAAATACTTTTCCAATGCAAAATTGATGTGAGCGTGTGGAGAACTAAGTAAACATTAATGAATTCACAAATTGTTCCAATTCCCGATCCTCTACGGTCAAATATATCATTTCATCTCTCGTAAGATTCACACACCCCGAAACTTATTCTTTTTTACTCTTTTCCCTGTGTGTGATTTAAGATCGAATTTTTCATTACTATCCACACCCTTCCCAATTCAGGTAGATGTTAATGGTTGCAAGTCAGCATATCATTGAATAAGGATTCTCAATTTATTTGATTACTTTGACCCCTAGGAATCAATTAGGCTAATTATCTTTTATCAAAAGTCAAATTCCCTCGAACAAGTATTGAGACTTAATAAAGCATTTAGTGCTTTTACTTTTTTCATGCACTTGCTTTTTCTTATTTTTTTTGAACTCTCCCTTAAACTTTCTAGATGACTCATGTAGCAAGCTTTAAACTGATGACTCCGAAGTCAGATGACTTTTGGGCACCAGGTTTTCAAATACCCTTACAGGCTTGATGACCCGAGTCAAAAAGACTTTGAAGAGAACAAATTTTTTTTTCAAGGACAACTTCATCTCTGATTGCCTTCTAAATGACCCCTGTAGCGAGCTTTAGGCTGATAACTCCTAAGTCAGGTGACTTTAGGGTACCAGGTTTTAGGATACCCTTGCAAGCTTAATTACTCGAGTCAGAAAGGTTTCAAAGAGAAGTTTTAAATTTAGAAAAAATATATATGCCATGATTAGTGCAATACCCCATATCACACACCCATTCAAGCAAACCGACCTCTAATTTAAGATTTTAGCCAAATTTTATTTTATTAATCTCTAACAATCCACACAAATTTTTTTACACAATGAATCCACATTCACATCTGTATCTTCCTACAATAGTAAGATCTCCCCAAATTGTGCTAATTTTGGTCCAAGGATAAATAAATAATATGGTTTGGGTAAAACATTTATGTCCAACTAACTCATTCTATAAAATACATTAATCAATTCATTTCATCGCAATGTCAAACTCTGTTCTAGTGCGCATATAATATCAACTTTTGCAAGTTTAAGTTTTAATCAATATAGCATGCTCTCTATCCATAGTTCATAAATCAATACAAAACCTCAAATTTAATCATTATTGTCTGTCAAACTGTCTAACCCACACAAGCACACAATAAAAAAAATGGACGATTTTTTTTTAACTTATCACACAATTTTTTTTAAATAAATACACAAAAACAAATGCACTAAAAAAATACGAAAACCAAGAATTCAAAATTTCTACCGAAACTTAAACTCGACATTGTTCTCAATGTCATAAAACAGAATTAAGAATGTAAGGGGACATGAAAAAAAGGACGAAAGTATTCCCCGAATTTTTCTTTTGAATGTGGAAGGGACTATGGGTGACTGCCAAACAATTTTCCTCATCATGTTTTTCCTTGATCTATGTTGGTT